AATCAGGAGCTGGTTCACGTTTGACAGAAAAGTGGTTCATTTTCGCCCCCGTATTGTCACCTCTTCTCTTAGGACAAACCATAAACTGATTTCGGATGTGGTTCCGTGGCAGTAGACGAAAGTCGAGGAGGAAGAGTTCAACCAACAATCAATTCGAAACTAACGATTTTAAATTGTCTCACCACTTGACTAGTCTAGGTCACAAGCAAATCGACTAACGTACTCCATTCTAGTATAAATTCCAGTAGTACACTATGTTTGTTTTGATTCGCTATGAAATTTTGACAGATAAAATGAGGGGTTAGTGGATTCTTCTATGTTTCGAGGGGTGCATCGTTTAGCTTGGAACCGAAGAGAGTACCAAAGCTGAGCCAAAAATTTGAGCACGTTTCTTCTGGACCTACTAGTCTTAGAGTTACGTCTATGCTGCTACTGAACGAAATTACGCCCAGATTAAAAAAGAACTGTTGGCAATTCTTTTTGCGTGTGTTCGTTTCGACCAACTTGTGGTTGGAAATTCAAAAACAAATGTGAAACCCGACCATAAGCCCTTGATCAGCATTTTTCGCAAACCTTTACTGTCTGCTCCAAGAAGATTGCAACATATGCTGCTCAACCTTCAACGTTATTGTCTGGTAATTGAGTTCGTCTCAGGAGAGGAAAATGTTGCAGCTGATGCGCTATCCAGTGCACCATTCGATGACAAAGCAGTGAAGGACGAATGCAACAAGCTGCAAATTTACAAAATGTTTGAAGATGTCGAAGGTTTGGGACTTACCAAATTTGTCAACGTATCGGACCGTTGCTTAAACGAGATCATGGACGAAACGGCGAGGAATCCTTGCATGCAGAGCATCACAACTTTTGTTCAACAAAGCTGGCCTAGATCTGCTAATCGAGTACCAGACGGAGTCCGTGCATATTTCGGGTATTGGTTCGCAGCCAAATCCACCCATGATTAGTCATAAAATTCACAGGTATCCTTTCCAGTTGATCTCGATGGATGTTTTCTTAAGTGAGCTCCGTGATCACAGTTAGAAGTTCCTGGTCACTGTCGACCACTATTCAGATTTCTTTGAAGTGGATATCCTTAAGAATCTGACACCAGAATCGGTTATAGCAGCCTGCAGTAGAAATTTCGCTCGACATGGAAAACCACAAACTGTGTTGATCGATAATGGGACAAATGGGAAAATGAGAAAGTTTGCATCGGAATGGGATATCGACCACATCACTTCAGCTCCTCATCATCTGCAGGCAAACGGTAAATCGGAGGCAACCATGAAGATTGCAACGCGTTTACTGGTATTCTTTTGCATTGGAGAAACATTCAATTGGCTGCTCGTTTGTTTTCTCGTTCTTCACATTGTGGAATTCCAACATCCGGGGCCAAATCTTATGCCGAAAGTTGTCGAACATGTTCCTGAATCAATTGAAGAAAGCAGAAGGAAGATTACGACAGAAAATCAAGAAATCTACCTGAGCTACAGACTGGATCTGCAGTGTACGTGCAGATGAATCCGGATAATTCCATACAGTGAACGCCTGGAACCGTTGCAAATCATTTTAGTGATCAATCTTACACAGTTAACGTGAATGACAGTAATTATCGTCAAAGTTTAATACACTAGGAGCCACATAAGGATCCCGAATCGTCGCCAGAAAACTTCACAACAAACACAGTTCGATGCCATCGGAGGGAGAAAATGAAGATACAAATTACGGTTCACCAGTTGAAAGTTCTCAGTCGGTTCTAAACCTGAATTTTCAGCACAAGTCATCATTTTGTCTTCGATGCGTTGATGGCAAGTCCAATCCGCCTAGCTTCAGCCTTCAGTCTGATGTGTAAGAGTTTCTGCCATCATGTCGATGTCATCGGCGAAGCCAAGAAGCTGCATGGACTTCCTGGATATCGTGCCACTCATGTCTATCCCAGCTCTTCTGATCACATTTTCTAACGCGATGAGGAATAGCAGACACGAAAGTCCATCACCTTACGGTAACCCCCTTCGAGATTCAAAGGGATTCGAGAGTGTTCCCGATACTCGAACAACGCACATCACTCGATCTATCGTCGCCTTGACCAATCTCGTTCGATTGCGTCGAATGCAGATATGAAATCGATTAACAAATTATATGTGGCTACGTTGTATTCACGGCATTTCTGCAGAATCCACGAACTCTCTTGCAAATGGTGACAGGCGGCGGCATAGAATTTGGGAGAGTACCTTGTAGGCGGCGCTCAGCAGTGTGATCGCGCGGTAGTTGCAGCAATCCAACTTGTCGCCCTTTTTGTAGATTGGGCATACGACACCTTCCATCCACTCCTCCGGTAATATCTTCTCCTCCTTATCCAGTGCAGCGCTCTAGCCACCGTATTTTAATAGCTCACTTGGTAGTTGATCTACACCAGTTGCTTTGTTGTTCTTCAGACGACCGATCTCCTCATCAACTTCTTGAAGATCAGGTGCCGGTAGTCTGTCGTCTTCTGCGCGTGCTCCAAGGTCTGTTGCCGTGCCACCTTCGTTTTCTGCTGCACCACCGTTGAGGTGCTTGTCATAGTACTGCTTCAACCTCTCTCAATCAAAACGCTTCGTATGTGTCAGTCACCTAAACCCAAGAATTCAGCATCCAGTTTAATCAACAGTCGTCTAAAACGGGTTTCTTGTATTTCATAGAAGCTGAAGGACTATATTGTAAAGTTATGTGCAGATGGCAAGGCAAAAATCTATGTTTAGATTTGAATAGTTTAGAATTTTATTTCTGATGGAATCTATAGTACCTTCAGTGTTTCCTTGACTAAGAAAAATTCAATGATTATTTTTATGTGTACCACACTTGAATTTTTGTAATGTGATAAACAAATGGTCGGACACATAGTTCTTATCTGAACACAGAAAATTCATGTGTAACCACACATACTATTCATTTGACTCATAAATTCCATGTGTACTTCTGAGTGGATTCTGTTTATGTGTGGACACATGAAAATCATGTGGAATTAAACATGAAAATTCGCCAATAACAATGTGTCAAATTTTATGCGTGTACTTTAAGGTAATTTTTACTTCTGTTTGGGAATTTTTGGGCGAATGAGAACAACCCAAATTTATTTATTTATTTGTTGTCACTCACCTTCGACTATGTCGCACAGACTACTACCAACAATCAATACGAAACTAACGATTTTAAATTGGCTCACCACTTTAGTAGCCTATTGGTCCCAAGCAAACGATTAACGTACCCTATTCTAGTTGAAATTCTATTACTACACTATATTTGTTTTGATTCGCTATGAAAGTTTGACAGATAACATCAGGGGTGTGTGGATTCATGCAGAACATGCAGGGGTGAGTGAAATAGCTTGGGACTGCTTGGGACCGTTGTTCTGGTACTGAGTGAGCCAAAAATAATAATGATTTTCTTCGGGACCCAGTGGTCTTAGAGTTACCTCTATGCTACTACCAACAATCAATACGAAACTAACGATTTTAAATTGGCTCACCACTTTAGTAGCCTATTGGTCCCAAGCAAACGATTAACGTACCCTATTCATAGAGGTAACTCTAAGACCACTGGGTCCCGAAGAAAATCATTATTATTTTTGGCTCACTCAGTACCAGAACAACGGTCCCAAGCAGTCCCAAGCTATTTCACTCACCCCTGCATGTTCTGCATGAATCCACACACCCCTGATGTTATCTGTCAAACTTTCATAGCGAATCAAAACAAACATAGTGTAGTAATAGAATTTCAACTAGAATAGGGTACGTTAATCGTTTGCTAGGGACCAATAGGCTACTAAAGTGGTGAGCCAATTTAAAATCGTTAGTTTCGTATTGATTGTTGCCCTATTCTAGTCGAAATTCTAGTACTACGCAATGTTTGTTTTGATTCGCTATGAAAGTTTGACAGATAAAATGAGGGGTTATTGGTTTTTCCTATGTTTCGAGGGGTGATTCGACAAGCTTGGGACCGAAGATAGTACCAGAGGTGAGCCAAAAAGTTGAGCACGTTTCTTCGGGACCTACTTGTCTTAGAGTTACCTCTATGCTACTACCAACCGGTGGAAACTAACGATTTTAAATTGGCTCACTACTTGACTAGCCTATTGGTCCCAAGCAAATCGATTAACGTACCCCATTCTTGTCGAAATTCTAGTACTACACTATGTTTGTTTTGATTCACTATAAAAGTTTGACAGATAAAATGAGGGGTTCGCGGATTTTCCTATGTTTCGAGGGGTAAATCGATTAGCTTGGGACCGAAGAGAGTACCAGAGCTGAGCCAACAAGTTGAGCACGTTTCTTCGGGACCTTCTTGTCTTAGAGTTACCTCTATGCTACTACTAGCTACGTTCTTAATACTATTTTTAAAACAATTTTTAGTTATACTAAAATCAAAACAGTCACTAATGTTGCTGAAAGCCCTGAGGCAGAAGCTAAATGGGCTGTTGTACCCGTAACTAGTCCTACATCGTGGAACAGTAATTAAGGTCGAGTTTCTAAGTTGACGATGAGGCACATTGATGGAAACTTGCTGAAGTTTAGTTATCTCATAGCTTGCTTGAGTTTAGTTAACTCATAAATCACTTAAAGTACAGGAACTCAGCGATGAGTAAATTTGCCTTACGTTTCCCAGGGTTTTCCAGGACAGCAAATCCCGAATATGAGAAAAGTAAAGATTAAATTCACTCAGTCTATTGGATCTACTGCTAGACTGAATAAAATGTTCGTCAATTTCCTCATTTTCCGGCAGATTTTTGAGGTTTTTCACAGGAAACCATGAGGCAAATTTACTCATCGCTGAGTTCCTGCACTTTTGACGATTATGAGTGAACTAAACTCAGATTTAAGTCGTTCTCATTCGCCGTGAAGCATACCTTCTTTCGCTGCTTTCCGCAATGAAAACGTTACGCATGATGTAAGCAACCCCTAGGGACTGTCAATCTTGTTTTGTTTGGCTTTTGATGCTTCTTTATTGATTGTTGCGTCGCTGGCTTGACTTTGCTTTGTACGCGAAATTAATTTCTATCGTTGAGCATTTTAGTGAAAACCCAACTCAGTGTTATTTATCAGTGAAAATGGAGCCACACGATAGTGTAACAAGTAAGTATTAAGCATACAGGTAATAAGTGACGATATTCAAAGGTTTCACTGCAAATACAGCGTACGGAAACGTCACCCTGGACGACTTTTGTCGCCTTTGCCTGCAGCAGTGTGGAGCCCGATGCATGCGTCCCTTGCGGGGTCGCTCGGTCAATTTCGGCACCGACAAGGTATCTATCCCGGATATGCTGGTATATGTTTGCGGTATGCCATCCAATTTGACCGATGAACTTCCGCAACGCGTTTGCAAGACGTGCATAACTAGGCTGGAGTCAGCTTACCTCATCTGTCGCGACTTCAAGGAGAAGGAAACAATTTTGGATCGATTCTATATGAACGGATTCGTCCTGCAGAGGTAATTGCGAACTTTGGGTAAAAGTGGGAACTTTTTAAAACCTTATTCACCACAGGTTGGTTCAGTATGAAAAATTCCGGTTCGATTCTGACGAGCACGAAAACGAAGCTACTATGGAAAAGTCAACCGAAATGGAAACCAACGAAAATGACACAATGCAGATAAGGGACGTCTTTTCAATGAACGTATCTCAGTCTGGGATGGAGGAAGAGGAGTTTTCAAACAACCAGATGGTCCAGCCAACGGTCGAGAAATCTACAGATGACTGTTCTGATGACCAATCTAAACAAAGCATTATCGAAATCTTTCCTCAGAGTTCAATTGTGTCATTAGATACGGACTATGATTCTGATGATTCCGGTGGGGTTAGTACTGAATCCCCACAAAGCTACAAGAAAGCTAAACCAACTACACGAAAGTGTGTAAAGCGCACCGTAGCAACCTCGATAATACCGTTACATCCGGAACCAGATGGGCTCTTCCATTGTGTCCATTGTCCTCGACGATTCTCCCAGCGGAAACATTACATGGAACATCTGAGTGGACATCGCGCTTTGATGGAGGAACGCTACAAATGCCCTAACCCCAAGTGCGGAAAATGTTTTAGGAAGAAAGATCAACTTAATCGACATACAGCGAACTGCCGGCGCAGAACAGAAGATGCCGCATAAAACGATGAAATGATGCTGAAAGTACCTAGATTAGGTGATGTTTAGTATGTAAGTATCGTTGGTTTGATGTATACGTAAGCCTACGTTTGCTGATGAGTGTTAAAAAAAAAAGATCCATGATCTTTGTACAAGCAAGTATTTAAAACGCATCTATTAACAACTTGCCAATCGCCTAAATCGCATCATAAACATAAAATTTGCCAGATGATCTCTACCAGTAAATATAAGTTAAGGAAATTATTCAACCATTTCTGACATGAATCAGTACAAATAAAATTGGAATGGGTTGTAAGCGTCCAATGCTGGGGGATGACGTGCTGTCAAATCAGCCTACTGATCATTCTTGTATGAAATTGGTTCCAAACTATACAAACCACGTAGGTTTCTTATGGCTTGTTTACATTTAGACCCAGAGGTAAGCGACGAGTGTTCGTATTTGACAGCCACATCCCACTCTGGTCCAATGTTCATTTTTGCAGTGTTTAGGTATACTTTAATCATTTCCTTCGGTAGCTCATACGAACAATTCAATACACGATTGAAATAATACTAGTACCAAAGCAGTTCCGCTAATCGGTTTTAGCAGAAGGTAAAGAAAACAAATAGTGGCCATTTAACAAAACTTTTTCAACCATTATTTTGAATTCACTATGATTTGAAGACTGTACATACATAATGGTTGTTGATTTGCCATTCATAAGACGGGTTTTTTTTTTGTGTAGCGTGTAAATTGTCTTAGAAGCATTTTTTGTCTAAAATACATACCTAGTTTTACCAGAAGGTTTAATTCTCACTAAAGAAAGCCATGTTATAAACTTTTATAAAGAGTATTTACAAAAAACGTAAAACAGGATGTCGAGAATACCTGTTTTCTTACGAAGTACACATTTGTCCACCATAATTCGAGTAACTGCCCTGCTGACGGCATTCCAGATGCCCTAATCTCGACACATTTCGTCGACTATATTCTCCACGTAAAGGGCAAGGAATCCGCCTTCGCCTGGGACAGTCAAAGTCGTGCTCCAGTGTTTCCTTTACATTTCCACACTCCGTGCAGAGGTGTGGCATTGCTTGTCCGAACCATGATCAGATATGGATTGCGTCAGGAGGAAGTTTACCTCTCCATGTTTTCTGTTCACCCAGGTCGAGAGATTTGGTATTACACTCGATTGGTCATCTACCGCTTTCCACCGTTTCCCATTCCTGTTGCCACTTGACCATCGACTTTCGATCGGTTCGGTTGCCAGCATTTCCATTTCTTCTAGCGTCTCGCCTGTTACAGTTAAGACAATCTCGATACCTTTGGGCGTCTTGAGCGTCAGCACGCCGTTGTACATCCCGGTCCAGATCGTGATCGCCATGATCCTATCCTGTCTCGTGAAATAACTCCCCACAATCCTGCATAAGTAGTCAGGAGGGAGCCTCATCCGTTTCTGTTTGGATGACTTCTCGGCTCTCCCAAATACTGTCCGAATTGCATCCACCGTGGATCTTCATTTCCGGAATCCGGTATGAATTTTAGGCAATCCATGCTCATTTTCCGTACATTTCGTCAGCCTGTTGAGGATAATTCTTTCCAGTAGTTTTCCGAGTGTATCCAGCAAGCATACAATAGGCCTAAAGAATGCTGGATCCCCCGGATGCTTCCCTGGTATGGAAACAACACTATTTTCTTTATCTTCCATCTGTCCATCTGTTCCTCATTGGAAACTGTGGGTACCGTTAACCAAAAAGTTAGCGTAGTTAACCGTTAATAACTATTTCAGCGAATTAACTACGCTAACATTAAAACGTTAATGCTAAAAACGAAATCAACGGGGTTAACCGTTAACGTTAACACTCCGAACACGATGCCTCCGAAAAACGTGTAACGGCAAATTTGCAATGACATATCTTTTTCCCTTTCTTGATGAATTCAAAAAATGCGGTACCACTAGAATTCCCAGAGCCTATAGATTATTTTGATTGTACGTAGGTTGAGAATAGGGTCGTCTTATTTTCTTAAAAGCGAAAAGTGTAATTACACGTTTTTTGAAAGGTGTGTTTATGGATTTTGCAAGTGGCTTAAGATCTATAATTTTGATTCATGAGCACAAATGTTCATAATAACCCAGAATACAGTTATGGTTCCTAATTTGGGGTCGAGACGGATACGTGGACACGTATGGTTATGGGTTCGTGGGTACATCACCTTTTCGTGGAACGTATCGTGGGTACATCACCTTTTCGTGGTACGTTACGTGATGTAAGATCTACCACCGATTCCTAGTTCTGACTACTTCAAACTAGGGGAACAGGATTTTTCAGTAATGGAAGGAACACATCTTAGTCCTTGTTACTTTTTATGCCTTGTTGATAGTGACAAGACTCGGCTTTGTCCACCGAGGATGATGTTGAAACAAGGGAAAAATGAGTTATGTGATTCTTATCTTCTATTCGTTGTTCCCTAGTTTGAAGTGGTTAAGACTAGGGTTCTGATGCATGGTCATTACCGGTGTAATTGTTTAATTTTGTTTAGTCAGATCCTTGCGATAAATGCAAGAATGACAACTGTAAAACAAATACGAATACTTCATCATGTCTCAATAGTGATGGAGTAATACCATAGAGGTAATACGCGCTGCATGGTGAGTGAGTTCTGAACTAAGAGGGCAATCATGCGATAGGCATTGTCCATCCGAATAACTTCCTGAATACAGAAACCTGTTTTCTGGCCGTGTTGTCAAGTTAAAACATGGAATTTTATGCAAATTGCACACTGAGCTTGACTATCCAATATCCTATTTCTAGCCAAAATGGCAAGCTAAATACACTGAAAACGAATATTACTTAGAGAATGAGTCTCTTTTGCTGATTCGTATGGAGAAAGTGACTCACAACTGAGTAAAAGTTATTCACTCTCTGAGTTAGTTTCGTTTCTAGTGTGCAACGCAACGAACACCCCTGTTTATAACTCCGCAGCCAAACGATGACTGCAGTTAAACTTTCTACGTTTCGCTTACTTAAGCATTTGGATTACCATTCTATGCCCCTTCTTTCTTCTGTATTTAGCTGATGTACTATTATAGGTGAATGAATAGAAAAAATGCTAGGATTTCCACGCTGGAGCCGAGAAGTTTGAGGTCCACCCGTCCAACGTGCAAACGCTGAATAATTATGAGGCTTCGGCTTGTGTTGGCTGTGTAAAGGGTGAGTACCTTGCGGTCGAAGAAAATGTATGAGAAATTTGAATGTTTCCATATTTCTTAATTTTCAGCTATTTAAATATTTAACATTTATTTTGTGTGACATACCACACAAATTTTACTGCTGAATACATCGACATACAAATTATCAAAATCCATTGATTATTGGCCAAGTTATTAGCATTTAATGTCTGACCAATTTTCGTTGCATTTCCCTGGATTGGAACCCTTCCCGAAGACGTAGTCCTACGTAAAAAAACTAATCCTAACGCTCCACAGTTTTTTTTTCGGAGCCGCTTGGAACTGTGATATAAGAAAGAATGTGTGGTCGTGACACTAACGTGGATCCGGATGACATTGGGACCATCCTCCAGAAGATCCGGAATGTCACGACCCCAAATTCATCCTTATATCACAGTTCCTAATATTAAAAAAATATGGTTACTCTACATGACAGTTCTTCATAGTTGCATGAAATTCAAAATAAAATTTAGTCGCAAAAAATCATACGATTATTATGAAGTTTGAACGAATTAAACTCTCAGTGTACATATTGTTTCCTATGTACAGATTAAAGAGACGAGCGGTGGTAGAAAAGGCACGCATTAGTGATTCATTACTACGTTTATAAACTTGTTTCCAACAAAAGAAAAATCACACTAAACAATCAAAACTTGCATCTGTTTTGTTTTTATTCAACACAGCTGACGCGTTGACAGTAAAGCCCTCTAATTAGTGTAGGGCTTTAGTTGACAGAACGCGGGAAAAGTAACTAGTGAAAAAAAATTGCATGAACGAGGGATGAGCATCGGTTGCAAAACGATGCAATTGTTGATCCGTCTTGATCACTTCAGACAAAGCAGGCCCTTCCGACGAAGTTATTGTTCTTGGCGATATTAACTTACATTGCATGGACTCCAACCCATCACGGAGGCAAATAAAGTTAAGAATTTCATAAGGCTCGACTTATGAATGACACATCTGAATTTCATAAGCGTGACTTATTAATGAATTTCGTCTAACATGAGGTAGCTCTTATACGCCTATAACCATCTTATTTTCCCAAGCGTTGAAAGACGGGTGGTCAACGCACAGGCCTCGTAATCTCAACGTCCATGTTTCGGTTCTAGTCTACGGCGTTTTATTACTTTTGTGTCAACATTATTTTTCATAAGTCAAATCAGTGAAATTCATACTGATTTCTTGTGGCTATGGAATTGTTACGTCTATTTGCCTCAGTGTAGTGGTTTCTTTTGTCCTGATCACGAGGGTTCATCTTTTCATGTAGGAACCATCCAGCTCCTGAACAGTTATAGTAACGCAATTCTGTCACAAATCAATGGCCTGTTGAATGAAAACAACTGCTCCCTGGATCTCTGATTTGTGAGTGCTCGTGATACGGCACCCAACCTTTAGTCAAGGAAGTACATCATCACCCTGCTTTAGTTATCGTGATCGAAAATAATATTGTCCATGATTTCACCAGCACTCCAAACGCTGTGTCATATGACTTCCGTAGAGCTGACCATCGCAGTATTGTCCATGTGCTGTCTAACCTAGATTGGAAGCATATTCTAGATCCTGTAGACGTCAACATTGCTGCACAAACCTTTTCTCACGTCTTGGCATATGCCATTGACAGGCACGTTTCCTAAAAGATCATCTATATCGACTCTCGCGTCCCGTGGATGACGAAAGATTTTCGCTCGTTGAAAAGAACTAAGAAGGCTGCTCTCAGACAGATTGACTAAATTCCGCACACTGCCGCTGAAATGCTGCTATATTAGACTCAACCGCGAGTATAAACGGTTAAGTTTACTCTGTTTTCAACACTATCAAAGGAGGATTCAACGGCGGCTAAAATTACACCCGAAATCCTTCTGGAACTTCGTAAATGAGCAATGCAGGGAAGTCGGCTTACCCGCTTCCATGATTTTTAATAGTAAAACTGCTGGCAATCAACAAGACATTTGCAACCTGTTCTCAGCCAAATTTGCTAGTGTGTTTGAAGACGCTAATCTCATTACTTCCGCGGCCAGTAATGTTCCTTTGGTCAACCAAACGTTCAGCGTTGTCGATGACACTACAGATACGATTTCTAGAGTAGAATCTAAACTTAATACTTCAGCTAAGGCTGGACCCGATGGTGTTCCGTTGATTATTCTTAAAAAGAACATCACTTGTCTTTTAAATCCACTGCGCCGCATATTCCAGCTCTCTCCTTACAGCGGCATCTTTCCGTCTTGCTGGAAGACTGCGGATATGTTTCCTTTTCATAAAAAGGGAAGCAAACGCGACGTAAACAACTACCGGGGAATTACGTCACTGAGTTCTGTATCAAAACTTTTTGAATTGGTTGTCATAGAGCCCTTAATACCATAGAGGTAACTCTAAGACTAAAGGTCTCGAAGAAACGTGCTCAACTTTTTGGCTCAGCTCTGGTACTATCTTCGGTCCCAAGCTAATCGATGCACCCCTCGAAACATAGGAAAATCCACTAACCCCTCATTTTATCTGTCAAACTTTCATAGCGAATCAACACAAACATTGTGTAGTACTAGA